GAGTTGGGGTTGGCTATAAGGAAGTACGGTATAATAAGGAGGATGGGGTGGTTGATGTTGGAGTTGTGGTGTAGAGGTTTGAAGATGGTCATGCTGGGGAGTAGTTGAAATGTCCCTTGAGGGTTGATTTGGTTGGCTACAGGTACTAGTACGCATTGGTGCAGGGATTAGTTATGCAGTGTTTGGAAGCCGTTGTCGAAGGAGGAGAGCTTGTGGTCGGGGAACTCGGCTGGGGATACTTCGTTGGGCGTATTGGATAAAGGGGCAATCCTCATTGCCCCTAACAGTGGTGATATATTTTCAATCCAACTGGCCATGGGAAGCCTGGATTATGTTGGGATGAACTCATGACCACCCCTCAATGGGTCCGCCTTTAGTGGTAATGGCTAGAAACTAAATCAGGGACAACCTTGCCCATTGCAGTGGCTGTCCCTCATTTCCTTACATGACTTGCACAAAGACATGCGAGCCTTCAACCTTTCATGCACGGCTCTCCGACACCTTATGAGGGTGGATAATCGCAGGCTTGTATTGGTGAAGTGAACAAAGATAAACAAAAAGTGTGAAGGGAAAAAAAAGACCATGCATATAAGTTTAGTCTAGGGCTGAATCCCAAGGTTGGGGGATACCCAGACCTTGGGGTCCCATTCACCCGCCTCGCTAAGAAACCCCCACCACGACAGAGCAACTGGCAAAGGGATGTTTGTTGTGTGTATCACGTACATCCCAAAAAGGTTTTATCATAAATACAGTATACGTACCTAACATACGATTACAAACTTTATGATTTTGGTGAGAAGTAAAAGCTAGAATAAGGTGACAAACTTATAATGCAGAATACTTATCACCAATAAATAAATCCAGATGAGAACACAAATCACAAAAAAAAACAGAACAAAAGGCTAACAATCCATAACTACATAAACATAAACATTTTATATGTATAATGAGTAATATCATACTCTATTTCATTACACACTGGTTAGCCAATAAATACAACAGGTACTTCTCACAGCAACACTAAAAAATTAAATGGGACAAATTATCAAGTGAAGAAGAAATCGAAGATAATAATGCACACATTATATATTATCTCTACTTTCAGAAGATGACAAGCAAACAGTTTGATACCATAAAAAAAATACAATATTTCTCCTTACCGGAAAATCAACATAAATGTACCTAAATAGACATAATAAAATACAACACTGTAGAAACAAACTTATCCAAAAACTTCATTGAAAAAGAGTGCCCACAGGTACTTTCTTTCACAACTTTCCCTGCAAATGATAGGTGGTCAATGGCAAAAGCACGATCCATGTAATAATATAATAAACAGTGTGGGAGCAACGAGCCATGTAATAAATAAACACAACTGTGATCCATCCACCCAAACCACTGATTGTGTGAAAAAAAAAAAACCCCCATGAATAAAAAAACACTTCCCCAATTCCTCCCACAATACATGCCCAATTACATAGATATCAGCATAACCTACACAAAAATAACTTTACTCATATATCACCAACTATCATCCACCCTAATGAATAACAATTCTCAATATGAAAACTCCGAATCCACTGCACCAACTTCAATCACACCAAAAAGCTCTAGCCAAAACATCCTTTTATCTATTGGTTTGAATCACACACACACAAAGGCGGACAGACCCATCCAATCAAAAACAGTCACATTGACTTACCACTTACATATATAAAAACAAAATAAACCACAAAAAACACTCAACACACTCAATAAATCAACGGGACTAAATATAACACACAAAAACACCTCAAACTAGTCAAACGTCACACAGACACACTACACCCACTTACAAACAGCACACGCACACCCACATACCAACCCACCACAAACCCACACACAAATGCGCCACAACCACTACGAATCACAAACTCCACACACACACACTCACGAAACGACAGCACTCTGCACACGCACACACACGTACACAGCACACACACACACACACATACACATACACATGACGACATACCAACATATCACATACTACATACACATAAGACACATACAACACACACCCATACACATCCTACATACATACATACATACATACAGTGACAACGGATACATAACATGACACACACACACACAACGACACACACACGATAACACACGACGGACAGGGCAACCCACGACACACACGACACAACACGACACGAACGACGGTACACACACACAGACGACATATATATAAATATATATATATATATATATATATATATATATTATATATATAATATATAAATATATATTATATATATAGTATATATGTATATTTTATATAATATATTTATATATTTTATATAAATATATTTATATATTTTATATAAATATATTTAAATAAATTTATAAATATATTTATATATTTTATATAAATATATTTATATAGTAATATATAAAATATAATTTATATATGATATCTATGTATATCATATATATCAAATAAACACATGTAATGAATATGTATACAAATAATTGGTATTATAAATACATTTTAAAATAAACTATGTATATTATATATTATATTATATGTATAAGTATATATGTTCATATGTACATATGTACAAGTTACAAATGTATGTATTATATATATATATATATATATATTATATATATAAAAAATAATAATATATAAAAATATATAAATATATAATATTTATATTTATAATGTATATGTATATGTATATGTATATAGTATATGTATATGTTATGGTATATATATATATATCTAATATATATATATATATATATATATATATTCTTAATAATTGTATATATGTATATATGTATTCTATGTATATATTTATATATGTATATATGTATAATTGTATATATGTATATATGTATAATATGTATATATGTTATATGTTATATGTATATGTGTATATGTATATATTATATATATGTATACTATACTGTCTGGATATAATATATATCATATTCTATATCTTTATATCTGTATGTCTCTATCTGGATTTACTATCTATATCCTCTATATATATATATATATTATATCTTAATATATCTTGGCATGCATGTATATTTTTATTGTCACTGGAAGTTATTAATTGGAAATTAGCAATGTAGAGAAACCTCTCGCCTTGATTATTAATGAGCCTCTACTACTTTGTGCTTCTATTGTGTTCAGATGAGGAGACATTGCAAACAACTTTTGGCATCATTTAGAAATGTAATGTGAGATGTTATCTTCAATAATATCAATGAAGACCTGCCTGATGTTGCTTGTATTAGAAAAAAAAATAAACGATAAAAAAATAAATTAGCACTTCCAAAATTTAATGCCCAAATTCTGTTCTTGAACTCTATAGACTTTTTTGGCATAACAGCATCATACACAGGCTTAATCTGCCTTATATAATGTGAGTTGCATTGTAGCTAGTTACACATAAGCTGAACTTCAGTATGTCTTAGGATGGGACAGAGAGCAACGCTTGGAAGAGAAATCCCAGCAAGTGCCATTAAACTGCTAACGGAGTTTTAGAGTAACTCCAGCCTGTCCTGTTAAACAATATGATGTAACCCAAAATATCCAAGACATAAATAAAAATACCTCTCACTTGACATATCTTGACAATCTTATTACAGGAAGTATTTTTTTAAAAATATTCCAATGAAAAAAAAAAAAAAAAAAAAAAAAAAAAAAAAAAAAGAAATTGAAAGTAGTAGTACTAACAATGTTTAAAATTTTAAGTACTCAACACAAGGAAATAACACAATCTAAAGAAGCCGTTTCATCTTCTTTTCAAAACTACTTGAAAATATACAACAATTCAATGTGTATTTGTGCAATCCACGAACATATTACAAAGACTGTATAACCATTAGCATATGAACAAAAGTCAAGGTGTGAACAAAACAATAACCAAACTGTGCTTTGCATCAGAGAAGGATGCTGCTAACTTAACAATGATAACTCAGATGAATCCTGTGCTCAGAAAAACAGTGTGATACTAATACAAATAAACCTTCCTTTACTAACATAATGGTTTACAGCATAAATGATAATACATATTTACTTTTACATTATATCATATCAAATCAAAACAGATGTTGAAGGATATAATGTAAAATTATTTTTTCTTCATGTGCAATCACGTTAAATCTGTTGATTTTCTTTTTTGGAGGGGAATGAATGGTGTTTATTTGTATGTGTTTGTGTTTGTACATAGAACATATTAAAAATTCTGAACATCTGTACATAAAGACTAAAGCTTAATTAAATGAGAGTTCAATACATTACCATCTACAATTACAATGGTTAGGTGAAGTCTCCTTAGAGGGGGGGAAACATTGGTAATTCTCATTCTTGGATCAATTTCTTGGTATATTTACAAAAATCTGCTTCCTCTGGTTTCAGTGTCAACCTAACCAGTCATCAACTATCCTATAATAGGATAAATTATAAAACACAAATCTTCATTTCTATCACAGATCTTTTTAAGTACTGCATTCAAGTGTATTCAAAGCAAGTACCTACATTTTCATTATAGCAGTTGATCTCACAGTCACTTGATTCAAATCTATTTCGGAAAGTTTTTCTTTCTGGGAGAAGTTGGGCTTTGATGTGCGGAATATTCATGTGTATCATTATTATTAGCCTTTTACAATAAAACACAAAATACACTTCTCCCTAGACTCCATGCACTAACTTACATTTAGTTTCTTGCCTAAACTATAAAAATCAATAAAGAAATAAACATCATGAAACACTAAAATTTTGGTGTCTAGTGCCAATACAAAAATTACAAAATTACGGTCACGTTATGATAGTCTCAACTTCAATAGACCACACTTAACCCATTGCTGCTAGATACATATTATGCCCACTGTAGTCCTGTTTTGTGAATTTTGTTTACACATGGATGGCTCCACAAGTGCTCAGTCACCAAGAAGTCAATTAACAGGCCTTATGTGATCTCGTCCAATTTCCCCATTCCTTGTTTTTTTGGGAAAATTGTTTTTTTCTAATCCCATTGTTATCAATACTATTATTACTGATTTTATGATTATTATAATGTCATCAAAATGCTAAAAGCAGTTTTTAAAAATCTTAAATATTTCTGAAAATCTAGAAAAAGAGAAAATGGGTGAGATAGGTACGGCTAGTAATTTACTTCTTGGTGACTAAGCCCTTGTGGATCCATCTATGTGTAAACATGTACAATAACCTAAAATCATAATGAACATGGCTTATATGTACATGCCATCCCCAGTGGCAATGGGCTAAATATGACAACACCCGGAGACATCTGTGTGATAATCAACACAGCAAGTACTGATGAGTGGCCTACTATCCCTAGATATCCAACAACATAGTTCCTGCAGCACTTAGGTTTTAGTAGGTGTTTTTTACTCAAGTCATACCCTCATCCTTACCAATTACATCACAAAGTGTTGTGTTAACACATCAAACTTTTTACATTATTTCTAAATAAGGCATGTAAAGAGTATGGAATCAAGAATAAAACCTTACACACTGGTTAACATAAAAATAACAGGGAGATGAAGACTATATTTGGTAATGAATAGAATGAGGAGCCCAAAGGTATGGTTTGTCATTACAGAATATTTTTCAAACCCCTATGGAATCTGAAAAAGCCTATTTACACCACCAGGCTTTTGAGGCAACATGTCACACATTAGCTTCTGGAATATGTGATAAACTTGCTCCTCTTAACCCCTTGCCGCCGGGTGACGGCGATACGCGTGTAAACAAATCGCTTCAAAGGTGGCGTGCGGCCAAACCAGCCGGCGGCGCGCCAAAGCGCGGCGAGCCAGTGATTCGGGCTGACGCCCCGTACTCCGGCGCTCAAAGTCGGCGCGCTGCCTTTGTTTGCCAGAGCGTAGAGTTTTATTTTCCTTTAGTACACCCGGCGTCATTGGGTTAAATATGCAAGAGCAGAGAAAAGCCTTCAAACACAATGACTAAATCAGATGCTGATGAAAACATGCATTACATGATAAGGAGAACTTTACAGTAATTCCATAATTCACTAACTCTCTCAGACGATTCCATTCACACTCTAAGGCTTAACCTAGGCACAATCTGTCTTTCAATAACTTACAAGTCAAGAGAGGAAATAAGGTGGGCAATGGGGAGAGAACCATTTGTTCCTATACTTTGGAGACAGAATATGTAATGGGTCCCAACAGCATCAGTGCCACTGGGTAATGGAATGGACCTGTAATGTCACAGAAGTTTCTGCAGAGACCTCACTGCATCTTTGAAATTTCAAACTTTGAGGTAACAATTTCCTGAAAGACGAAAGAAAAATTAATTACATCCTAAATATAAAAAAAAATATATGACCAAATTAGAAGAACACCAGAGCAACCAAACTAAGCTTAACAATGTATATAGGTAAAATTCATGTTTATTACAAAAATATTCTATTTACCTCATCTGAGTCCAGAATGGGAAGAGCACTGAAATAAAAGACAGGGAAAAAAATCATTATTACATTTCCTCTCTTAAGTAATTTCCATACACATTATTTATCCATAAAATGCACAAGAAGAAGAAGAAGAAGAAGAAAAAAGCTCACCTATCAGCAATTGATGATGGGATATTTTCCTCGACCCACTTCAAATCATCTTCCTGCAAGTTGAAAACCACATCATGATCAAACAATCACAGGCAAAAATTTCCAGTCACAAACACACACAACAGGATAAAGTAATTCTGTTCTTCCATTAACATTTGGAGAAATCACAAAAATCTTTATACCAAAATAAACCCATCTAGAAATGCATGCAAATCTGGATGGAGAATACACAAGTGATTTATTTCCTCTCAACGTACCACAGAGCGCGATTCCCGAGGTGATGATGAGGTCGAATTACGTGTATTTCGGAATTTCATTGTATCAGAAACATCAGCCATCAGTTTCTCAGCTTCCTCTTCATCATCGGCATCTGATCCATCGTCTAATAAGGGTGAGAAGGCAAAGCGCTGAAAATAAAGAAAAAAGTATTTAATACTTCTGCTTCTCTGTTATTTTTCTTCTCCCTCCTCTCCTTCCTTCTCCATCCTCTCTACCCCTCCTTACTTTTCTTCCTTCCACTCCTCCTTTATAACCAAATTACACTCACATCGATATATGTCCCTAAAACCACAGCAACACAAATGTCGAACTCCCCACATCAGGATATTTCTTCTGCTTCTCTGTTATTTTTCTTCAACCTCCTCTCCTTCCTTCTCAATCCTCTCTACCCCTCCTTACTCTTCTTCCTTCAACTCCTTTATAATCAAATTACTATCAATTCCCCCTTGCCCACCATGTAACTCACTTGGTTGTTGTTGGATGGCCGCCAGAGGATCATAATCACCAGGAGGACCACAGCAAAGAGGACATGCCAATAAGCATCATCCACCCAGAGCTCCTTCCAGTCAGTGAGACATTTTTCGAACTGGTGGTACCTGCCGAGTGAAAAGTGAAATCAGTTAAATGTTATTTGGATTTGATCAGAACATGAAACTGGTCCAGGGCTTGTTCATTCTGAGTGACTGGACTTAGTATTGGATGAAACTTTTACTCCTCTTTACAGAATAAAATTTAAAGTTGGGAAGAACATATCTGGCAATTTTAATGGAATGCGCAGAAACTGCAATAAATGTTTACATAAACAACACAAAAAATAGTTTACACCACATTCTAAGAAAAGCACTCTACCAGTGAAGTCAGGCAACACTGAGGGCAGAGATGTGATGTGTAGTGATGTGTATGACTAGATCCCAGCACTGACTACCAGCCAGCACTTCTCATAGAAGAATAATTAAAAGACTGTCTCTTCTGTCTCTTTTTTCACTTGTATTGTTAGTTTGGGAACTTATAACTCCACTTCAGATTAGTAAAATGGGTTAAAACAAGACAACAATACAGGAGAAAACACTGGGGAAGTACTATTGAGGAAACACATTTCAAGGACGATTTCACATAGGTCAACAAAATGCATCTGCATATGGTGATGCTTAAATTTATCATACAGCCATCTATATAAAGAACACATATCCAGACCCCCTCCAGGACAGGTCAAATAATCTGTTTCTGCTGAGCCACGCCTTGCGTCGCCATAACAAACTGCTTGGTCTGTGGAGTATGGCTGTATACCATGGTGACGTGCCAAAGTGCTTCAAGCTGGGTGTTCCACTTGATGTAGTGAACTCCTACACTCAAAGTCGGCTTGTTGCCATTAACCCCTTAATGATGGGTGATGCCGATAGGCGTGAAAACAAACCGCTCGAAAGCTGGCGTGCGGCTGTACGCCGCGGCAGCGAGCCAGTGATTCGCGCTGATGTACCGAACTCACGTGCTCAAAGCCAGCGCGCTGCCATTGTCTGCCAGAGCGTAGAGTTTTTTTTTCGTTTTCTTCACCCGTCACCATTGGGTTAATCTCCATAGTATAAAATTTTTATTTATTTTCTTCTCCCGGCAGAAACGGGTTAAGACCATCCTGCATGACCTTCAGAGAGACCTTTGTTTACTGCTAAAAAGCCTCCACCTCTACTCACTGAAACTATGAAAAAGAAACGTCTTTAACAAAGCTGAGTACCACACAGCTGTAAAAGAGTGAAGTTTAGTAATGAAAGCACTTTCAGGTTAGTGAGGAGAGTTTCAGTTTGTGCAATGGCCCAGAGTTTGTCCAGCGGCATCACACTACAATCAAAAGTACATGGCTAGGAGAGTACAACTTTCAGACAGTGTGATGGGTTGAGGTGGGAATGTACTTTCTTAAAAGTTACCTTATGGTGAGGGAAAGTCATGAATGAAATATAATAATTTCTTGTGTGACAGTGTCCTTGCCTCAAATCACAGACAGGTTGGAAGTTTTTCAATGACAATGGAGTAAATATATCAGAGTGATCAGGTAATTACCGTCACAAATCCTATAGAAAATAACAAGGAATATGATGAAAAACAAACTTAACCCAATGACGCCGGGTGTACTAAAGGAAAATAAAACTCTACGCTCTGGCAAACAAAGGCAGCGCGCCGACTTTGAGCGCCGGAGTACGGGGCGTCAGCCCGAATCACTGGCTCGCCGCGCTTTGGCGCGCCGCCGGCTGGTTTGGCCGCACGCCACCTTTGAAGCGATATCGCCGTCACCCGGCGGCAAGGGGTTAATGAAATGAAACTATAAGTCTATTATTTCTGCAAAACAATTTGTATACTTTCACCATTCTACATCCTGTCGCCTTTCCATCCAGCATCAAGCATTGACCTCTTTGATCCAGGTGACTTGACTGTCATGGAAAAATTTGACTGATGGCCAGGGTGATGGACATGACTTGCCATGAGTGCACAAAGGAGGGTAATTAGACTCAGTAGGTATAGAGGAAGGGGATCTTACATTATTTCCCTCAGTAAACAAGTGCGGAATATATCATCCATGAGCCATGACTGAAGAGTGCTGTCTTCAGGAAAGATCCTACTTCTCGCCAACAAAATCAGCAGTGTGCGGTGTATTACAGAAAATTTAAAAAGTTACACAACTAACAAAATATTAGTTAATGTTCTTATTATTGCACAGTCATAAACTACCTATGGAATATGTGCAAGGAAAATAGCCTAATATCGTGTTGTTACAGCATATCAAAAAACAAATAGATCTCAGAAACTGGCAAAATAAAGCAAAAAACACTGATACAGAAAAAGAGATGATAATATGGCAAAGACATGGCAAGGAGTCTTGACATCACAAACAAGTGTTTGTATGGGTCGGGCCTACAAGTCACACACCCAGGAGAGGACCCACTCAAGTAAGCCTAATGCCCAGATTTTGGCCCACATATGGTAGCAAAGTACCCATATCTAATCAGTTAACCCCTTGGTGCCGGGTGACGCCGATCGGCGTGTAAACAAAGCGCTCGAAAGCTGGCGTGCAGCCAAACGAGCCGGCGGCGAGCCAGTGATTCGGGCTGATGTCCCCTACTCACGTGCTCAAAGTCGCTGCCTTTGTTTGCTTAAGCGTAGAGTTTTTTTTTGTTTTGTACACCCGGCGCCATTGGGTTAAGTAAGTCTGCATCCATAACACATTCATTTATTCAAATCTATATAATTTTCTCAGATGAAGCATGGTATTCAAAAATATTAGACTGCAAGTAATTTGGTGTAAAAGAATGCATATATATATATATATATATATATATATATATATATATATATATATATATATATATATATATATAATTTACTGTAACTGTTACACTACCTAGATACCATGTCCTTTTGTACAAAGACAAAAATTACAAAATAGATGAATGTATATTATTATTTGCTCCACTGTGTATAACAAAAGATAGCAATTGGTAGTAATACAATTGTTAATTAACTTCTGAAGTTCAGATGCTCACATTTACATTTGCAGCACTATTTTCACAATGACAGTGTATGGTAGCTCATTGAATGGCATGCAAATATGTAAATATGCATATCTCAATATAACTCCCAACAAACAACCTTCCATAATACCCTATTACCTCAAGTTTATAACTGCATTTCCATAAGCTGTGCAAAGGTTTTTACATAACACTGGCATCACCCACCTGATAGACCACAACATGAAGATAACCGAGGCTATGACAGCAAATGCAAGAGTGTTGGTGAAGTGCCGGTAGAGGGAGAGCTTAACCAGGTTGCGTCTCAAGCGAAGGATGCGAGTGGTCTGCACAAGTCCAGTGAAAATCCAGAGGCAGATGGCTGACTCCAGAAGGGACAGAGGCAAGGAAGCTAGAAGGACCTGGAAAAGAAAAAGGGATTCTCAGTATGACATAAATAAAAACTAAATGTGCAGTAAAAAAATGTGAAGTAGAGTAAACTTAAAATCAGATATAATATCACTGAAGTTTTACAATATGCTTATACTAGCTACATAATTTATAACAGCAGTCAGATCCAGACATATCTACTATATCTTTAATTTGAGATATTTAGCAACATCAAATTCCATGTATTGACTACAAAGAAAACATGATGATATTTTTCATCTAATTTTATTTATTCATTTTTGTTATAAAGATCATCGCATTCAGTAATTCTTCAACATATAAAAAGGTACCAAAATATATCTGCAAAATATTACCTGTTTCTGAGGGTCACTTCTAGACTGTAGTGCTCTTGTACATCCTTCAATACTTGAAAGGACAAAGTAGAGAAGACCAACACCAACAACACGATGCAGAATCACACCTAAGCGCGGTCTGAAAAGTCAAATGCATTTTTTTCCCTTTCATACTGCTTATAATGTAATGACAACCCTTATGTCATTATTAACGATTATCAACAACTCTCATGTCCTTATTTGGCCAACCTAGCCATCATCAAGTGTTTACATGTGGTGATATGTGATCATACAATTCAATGTCTCTCTGTCTATTAGTCTTTTCCCCCTTGTTGGGATTTACTGAAACATAGTGTTCTTTTCTTCATTCCATCATCACCCCTTCACATAACAATACATGTAAACAGATGAACTTTTATTGACAAGCAACAAATAAGTACATGATGTTTAAAAGCACAGGAATAATATGCAAGCACACACAGACATCCAGTCATATTGAACAAAATGTCCATTTTATGCCATCCATATCCATTCTCATGTATTAGTTGTCCCCTGAATGTTATGGTATATATATATCTCTCTCTGTTTAATCGTCTTCTGTAAGTATAAACATGATATGTGTCAACACACACAAACATAGCAAAACTAGTAATGGTACATTACAATGTTCCTTATTGATACACCATGTTTGAAAAACCTATTACACTGGTCATACCATACGTATTAAATGGCACATAAATGTATTCCAAAAAATAGATACAAAAATGTAGTCACACATTTCACTCACTTGACAATCCCAAATCCAAGAGACACGATAATGACTAGCATCCGGGCAAGAGTTCGCTTGGCGCAGGAAGCTAACTCTGCCAAAATGATGAGGCCTGGGACACTGTACCCATTCTGATTGATGCTGCTGTATTCAGCTGTGAACACTGCCTTTTCCAGCATACCTGCAGTGAAGGCAAAGATTTCATGTAAAAGGTACTTGCATGTAATATAACACAAGTGGGAATTGAGCAGGGGGGGAATGAAGTAGAAGGGAGAAGAGGCAAGAAACAGAAGAGACAGATGGGAAGAAATGGAAGGTGAAGGAGAGGCAGAGGAAGAGGGAAGGAGAGGAAAAAAAGGAAGGAGTTGGAGGAGATATAGAGAAGAGGGATCAAGAGAAGGATGACAGGGGGAATGGGAGGATATGGAGGAGGAGGAGGAGGAGGAGGAAAAAGAAGACTAAGAGGAAGAAGAACATAAGAAAAAAAAGAGGAAGAAGATAGAAAGATGAAAAACATGAAGTAGAAGAAGTAGAGGAAGAAAAGGAGGAGGAAGGTAAAGAAGGTAAAAATAGGTAAAGAAGAGGAACAAAATGATAAACAAAAAGAAGAAGAAGAAGAGGAGGAGGAGGAAGAAGATGAGGATGTAGAAAAAAAAATAAAAAAAATAAAATAAAATAAAATGAAATAAAATAAAATAATCCTTACCAAGCAAGATGACTGTTCCAATCCAGTACTGCACTCGGAGCAGTTCCCTCCAGTGCATGAAGGACACAATGAGCCAAGCCAAACCATAGATGAGGTAAACAACACACATGGCTGCATAGAAGCCAAGCAACGGCCAATCTGCAAAGATGATTGTTAATTTAGCAGGACTAATGGGGTTTATTTTAGAGAAAGAAAGAAAAAAAAAAAAAAAAAATCATCATCATCATCATCATTATCACTATCATCATCATAAATTATGAGCAGCACCAGAAAAATAAACTATGGCAATAATTCACTTCAATCTTCCAGATATTCACTGCAATTAATGGCATTCACTCTAATGGACAATATCATAATCTATGGTGCTTTAGATATATACTTAGACATAATAACAGCAGTAGTAATGATAATAGCAATAATAAGAACAATAAAAATACCCATACCAACAATAACAGTAAAATTAATCAAACTGCTAAATGGAACATAAAACTTTACTTCAACATACCTACAGCTGAGAGGTAACCATAGTCACTCCTCATCTCAATATCAATCTCAGCGATGTATGAATCATTGCCAATCACAGTTTCAGGAACAACTTCCGTGTGGACTACCAAGAGGTAGACCCCGTCAAAGGGCAGGATAGCCACCGGGTGCTTGGTCTGGGCCGCTCCGCCAGCACTAATGTCGCTCTCCGAAAGACCTTTGGGGTAAAGGAGGTACCAAGTGAATACACTAAGAGTAGTGTGGAAAGTTCCTATTCTATGATACTTTTCAATATGGGTAATGCTGACCTTTAGAACTACTTGGAACCTTTTCAAACAGCAAAATTCCCTTTACAGAAGTGATAGACAATTGAACATTCTTCATGTAATTTTACATAAAAAAAATACTACTCAGAATTTATACAACATTAACATTCTTTCTGACTCTTTTGAAATAAAAAGAATCAAACAACATCAAACTCTACCCACCCAAAAAATGTCAAAAATAGCTCTCTTGTATATCTGTAAATACAAACAAAGCCCTAAAACCCAAGCTCTAGATTGACCTACTTCACAACCGGAGTAGCCTTTGTTGTTGTTAGAGTATCCCCCAACCCTGCCTTAGCGGCCTCTAGTGAGCTCTTCAGCATCAGCATCTGATTTTGTAAAAAAATTTCTTTTCCAGTCGACTTCATGCTGGCTGTTTGATTGGACATAATTTTAGCAAGTGAAAAAGACAAAGCAATTTAAGTCATCCACCCATACTATATCCACAACAAAACTGAACAAAGACAGTGAGCATACCAAAGAAAACAGCAGTTTGAAGTTTGTACCTACCAGATAAATATTGTCATCACAACTACTATTTCTGGCCCTCTGTCTTCAACTATCCAGGTTTATACTTTCCTCTTTAGAGTCCTGAATAAACTGGCCGGATGATTGAATAGTTCTGTAGCAATGCGTCTTTCCATCCTGAAAGTAGAGAGTATGAGGCACCGTTGAATACATGTTTCATAATTCCAAAAAACAAATATGTGCTCATTAGCGATTAATACTGGAAATTTGAGAAACATCGATCAGCTTGAATGCATCTCTGACAGAGTGTGTGAGAGAGAAACAAACAGACATGTTGAAGAATGAAAGATGAAGAGAATGAGAAGAAGAGAGAGAGAGAGAGCGAGATAGAGAGAGAGAGAGAGGAGAAGAGAGAGAGAGAGACGAGAGATAGAGAGAGAGAGAGAGAGGGGGGGGGAGTTAATCTGTAATTGCACTCAATACAGTGACTGGTTGGACAGTGATAGGCATGACTCTTTAACTGAATGAAGAGTAAACATGGATTAAGAACACAATACCGAATATCTAAGGAGAAGTGCTGATCGGCGTGTAGTGTCTGGCCAGCCAGACCTTGGGTGGGCTGGAGGCTGGTACTGACCTTGCACTGTAATTCTGGAGGGTGAACTGGGAGGGTCAAATAGTGTCAGAAATATTCAACAACTAGCTTCCTGAACTGATATGTAGCCCCATTGTAACACATGGAGCCCACATGGTCTTCTGATTAATCAAATTGTGCTCATAGTGCATGCTAAGAGAGAGAAGAAGAGAAACAGAGAGACAGACCAGACAGATAGACTGAGATGATATGATGAACAGAGGAGATCAGTCTTATGCAGAAATAGACATTAACATGACTGAGACAGACTCAGAAAAAGAGACAGAAAGACAGACAGACAAAGAAAGTCAGACTGAAATAGCAACAGAGATAGATGACGGAGACAGAGAGATAAACAGACATACCAGAAATACAATATAATTGATAAATAAAAATATACATCCAGGCAGGGAAACAGAGACTGTAGGCAAAAAAGAAAAAAGAAGGAAAAAGAAAAAAAAGAGAAAAAAAAAATCTTACCTCTGGTATGACATACTCATTCCAGCAAGGTGTCTTCCGCAACATCCATGTGATTTCAATATCCAGCGGGTTGTTGGTTGGCTTACACCGGACTTTGATGTTGATTTTGCCCCCTTTAAACATGCTTTTCTTAACTCCAACATATTGATTGTCCTGCAAAATAATTTATTCCAGTTAATGGCTGTCATATATTTAATTTCTGACGCTATAAACTGGTCATGAACTCAAGTGGTATTACATTCTTATGCATTTTCTAGTATAGCTAACAACAATTTTGTACCTATAGTAGTCTACAAGGAAAATAAATTAGATTGTAAGCTCCTAATAAGTTCTAAACATTTTTTTTTCCATTACATAGCTGTCATATATTATATAAAAAAAAAGTTTATTAACTCGTAAAGTCATAAACATTACTCATATCATTAGGATAAGGTAACCAACAGCAGATACAGCACCCTACCAATAGGCATTCAGTTGGCAATTTAGAAATAATTGTCACAATATAAATATTTTAACATCATACCAGACTTGCTTGAACGCAGAGAATTAAGCCTGGCACATATTAAGGGGCAGGAATGGTGTATTTGGAGTTTACATTTCCTCTGATATAGAATCCCACTTCAACAACTAAATAGTGCATAGAGATAATTGTGTTACTATTTTAATAATTGTAAAAGTAACCACGGATAAATATTTTGCTTATCTTGGAAATCCTTGTTGTTTACCAAGGTTTGTATCCCTTATTTTTGGCCATTTATTGATTTGGTGTTTTTTTACAATCTTGTTCGAATATTAACCACTTAAAACCATCATAATAACAATGACCTTCAATATACCCTAGATAAACCATAAAGGGATGACTATGGCCTAACTTAATATACTGAGTCTTATTGATTTAAATCTTGAGTAATTAATAAAGCATACCTAACTATACAGGGGGTCGGAACAGGTTATACACCAACTTATCCATGATTTTGCGCGTACCTATGACTATTGTGTGCAGTCCTTTGGCGTTTATTCTAAATTCTGATTTTGAAAGGTGCCAAATACCTTAATCTCTCTCTTTCTCTCCTCCCTTTTACCTTCACCTTTCCCTGACCTTCACCCTCTACTTATCCTCTCCCTCCTCCTTCTCTCTATCTCCACCTCCATCAACATAAATATATTGTAAAGTAAATTGTTAGTCGATTATGAAGATGATGATAACACAGCTGCAAATGATGATAATAATGGTAAAATACTCTTCTGTGTTGATATTATGTAGAGAAACCCACAATGTACAAACTAGATTTATAAAAATGAGACTAGACAGTTCAAAATCCACCTGATTCCATCCTCATGTCTGATGAATCCTAGGTGGATTTTGAAACTGTATTCTCATTTTCAAGTTATATAGATTGTACACTGTGGGTTTTTCTACCAATGATGATAATGATTGATGATGATGGCCATGATGAGGAGGAGTCTATGATGATATTACTGACGATTACTAATAATGGTAAAAACTTTACAGTATGGATGCACTTGCCTGTGACAAGTCCCCTACTTCATGTCACAAAATCTATTCAGGCAATCTAAGTTGCAATGAATGGGTATGCCCATTGGCCACTGCCTGAGGGGTGGTTTGATGGTAAGCTCTTCAGCCCCCAAATGGCCCAGGAAAATATTGCGTTCAAAACCTCAGTAACACAACATTAGAGCTGAAACTCAGAAGCATCTAAGTGTACTTCATACTGTCTACTAATAGCATGTGCCGTACATGCCATGCCCATCGGATCTGGGTTAGGGAAAATTTTTTTCTTTCTAATCTATTAATAATCGATACTGTTATCATTTCTGGTAATTCTTTACATATGGATGCGTTGGTGTCCGAGACAAAATTCTCAAGTCAATGCCATAAAAAAAAGCAAAATTATTCAATAATCTAAGTTGCCATGCTAGTGTGCCCTTCGAGCACTGCCTGAGGGGAGGGTTGATGAGGTCTACCCACTAACACTCTAGGGAAACATTGTCCTTTACCACTGTCTGCATAGAAAGACAGAGCCCCCCCCCCCCTTTGAAACCCGGAAGACCGAGTGGAACTTAGGCTTTGATCAGTGCTTTCTGTGATCTTTTGTGTTCCCATTTGTCTGTAGATTATTTCTGTAACTCAACTTTTAGTCTCTATACAAGAATATCATCTTCAATTTTGGCTTGTAAATTATTAATATATTGCACAAATATTCATAACATTAGCAACAAATAAAATATCCGAAAGCTTTCCCAAAAATCGAGAAAAGAGGTGAGATGGTAGGACTAATAACTGACTACTTAATGACTATACATTTGGTAGAGCCTCTATGTGGAAAGATAATCAATGACTTATATATATACTGGACATGGCATATATTCTTCCGTCTCATTAGAACTGGTTAAAACTGCAAAATATGTTTACTTGTATGGCACTATCACGGGGCCTTTTCTTTAGTTCTATAAAACAATTGTCCCACTTAATTACTACAACAAAAGGTACTGCCAATCAACCTAAATAAGAATTAAAGACCAAATTACCTCAGTCATTGTATTCCCTCCACAGCTCATGCTCATGCAAAGCCAAGTTAATTTTCCCCCACAACGCACTAATAACAATGAAAGATACATTGATTTAGTTTATGTGTTGTTATTGTTCATTACTAACTTTCACTATCTCTGCATAATGTTTCTTTCAAATCCTATCAGGAATTATAAGATCTTGATATAATCGCTTCCCACAATCGGAAAATTGTTGTTAGTTGGAGATTTCAGTTGGGTATCATTACTTCCTACAATGCCTATAAATACTTTTTTCTTATCCCTCTTTTCTATCTTTCTCAGATTTTCTCTACGACCGCCTCTCCTTCTTTTATGATTACATGAAACTGACCATTGAAAAATAGTAGTCCGTTTGGGGGTTGACACGTAGTCTGCTTGTTCGGAAAAATCGTGATTATAGAGATTGGGAATTGAGCTTATTAAGGGACTAATTATCATTACCTTCGACGTTGGGGGGGAAAGTATTCCAAATCCCTTGCTCTGGGAAAGAGGCCACTACTACGTCAGATAAAAAGCGTTAGAACACAGAATTCCTCATTTTTGTATCACTTGACGTGCTCTTGTCATATCTCGTAGCCATGAATCAGACGTCAACAAACAGCCAGGTCTTCGAAACCTTTAAGGTGGTGTGGTGACGGAAAGAAAAAATGGTTTTGGCAGAATTAAGAGTCAAAAAGACGCTTCAAATCTATTTTGTTGGGTTTCGGCGCTTATAGTTCTGGATCATGGTTTCCGCATCTATTGTCCGTTTGACGCTATCCATTAGAATTCACAATTACGTGATTGTTAGTCGATTTTTTCCTTATTTGTCAAAATAGCCATTTCGGTACGGCTATAGAACCTATCTGTTATCTTTCACCACAGTATAACGGCGGATATCATGAATAATATCTATTACGCCCTTCTTAAAACACCGACATAAAGTCATTTTCGAATTTCAGAGAAATTCAAATTGAGTATCGATGTTGTCAATTGTTTAATAAAATCTATTCAGAGAAAACCTCCTTAAAAAGGTATATAAATATGTCCTTCTTGCAATATAGAAAATCCAAAAACACTGAAGTCTGACTGAACTGCATAACTAAAAAGAATCCTAAACATCACTTATTCTATGGCAAATGCCACATGGTCAAAGCCGCTTCAAAGCTATCTATATATTTCAATCTCACGCATTTTCAGAGGCATCAGTGATCTACATCAATTGTGAAGCCTTCACTAAGACCAATCATAATTTTAAACAAAACTATTGGGAACTGAAGCAAATTGGCGTTTTAAATATCTCTGTAAATTGCCGCATTGGAATAACCTTTGAACTGTATGTTTAAGAATAAATTATCATCTTACATAACTCCATCGTGCATTAACAACTCTTCCCGAACTTTCTTTTCCTTTTTCTTTTAAGATGAAAAGAAATAACTGCAAAGGCATACGTATTA